TGGACGCCATCGCTAGTAGGTTGGAGGCCGTCGCTACTAGGTTGGAGGCCATCGCTACTAGGTTGGACGCCATCGCTAGTAGGTTGGAGGCCGTCACTACTAGGTTGGAGGCCATCGCTACTAGGTTGGAGACCACCGCTAGTAGGTTGGAGGCCATCGCTTCTAGGTTGGAGGCCATCGCTAGTAGGTTAGAGGGCATTCCTATTCCTACTCGTGTGGAGGCAATTGCTATTAGGTTTGAGGCCATTGCTACTAGGGTGGAGGCCATCGCTATTAGGTTGGAGGCATTGCTACTAGGGTGGAGGCCATTGCTATTAGGTTGGAGGCCATTGCTACTAGGGTGAAGGCCATCGCTATTAGGTTGGAGGCCATTGCTACTAGGGTGAAGGCCATCGCTATTAGGTTGGAGGCCATTGCTATTAGGTTAGACTTGGAGAATCGAATGCTATACAAATGACCGAGAACGCTTCGCGCAGGTGCCCGATCCCAGACTCTTTCTTTGCGGGAAGCAGCTCATGAGGAGATTATATTGTGTGAGTCCTTTGTAATTATAGAGCAAATCTGCGTGGCTTGGTTGATTCCTCTGGAATGCTTTCAATGCAGGAAGCTTTTCAACCAGAAGCCATGATTTTGGTCAAGCAGCCCTTCAGAGAAAGGCACGAATGGGACAGGTGAAAACAAAGCTGGATTCCTCCGTTCTCGATTTGCTGACACATAGGCACATTGCGGAACGACTTGGCTGACTTGGCTATTGTGTTAATATGTGACATGTGGTTCATTTTGTTTTCAACGCAGACACTGGTTACAAGCCACATGTTCTGCGATTCAGGGCCATCAGCTATGCAAATGCCTGGCTGGTGGATGCCCGCCAGCGGTGTACAAGGAAGACCATTTGGCATGCTTGCCAGAAGCATCACAAGTGCCCCTGCCAGCAATGAATATTGAACACATAGAAAAGACAGAAGAGCGAAAATTCATATATCATATGTGTCTATACTCAATGCTATAGGCTATATAATCAATATATTTAGTTTCATTATTGTTAAACTGCAGCAGAAGAGCTTCAGACACTTTCTGCTGTCGGCCTAAGAGCGAGGATCATCTCCTTGACAGATGACTCTCAAACATGGACTTTCAGTGCTCCAGAACGGGCAGCAGTCTTCCACTTTAGCCTGTGGATCAATTCGGTTTGCCTCGCACTTGTTCTTGGTGCCTTGGACCGAAAGAGCGAAGCTGTGGTTGATGCTATTTGAAATGATTTCTATGGTTCTTATTTCTACATATCAACAAGTGAACACATTTCCAGGTGGTGGAATTCAACGGCGTCCTCACAAGGATCCATTTTGCCCAGGAGCTGACCATGAGTAGCTTGGTAGTGCTGTTTAACGCCGCTAAAAGTCAACGCCAGCTCAAGCGCGGTCACTTTTGAGGTTACGTATGTATAGATGTTGGGTGTTTAACATGCATTTTTCCATTGTGCACCATCCGAGAAGTTGTAGAAACCAACTTGCTTGTATTTTACAATGTTTTGGCTTTCTGAGTTGTACAGTTTAAGCAAAATATGTACTGTAGATAGATTGTGTCATGTGTTGTTTTTGTTTGAGATCGTTTGAGAAATCGGACTCGAGGCTTCGCTTGGCTTCTGCAGGGTGTTTGCTGCAAGGCTCACAGCTCGGCGAAGCGCTTCTTGCGGCGCTGTGGGCGGTGCCTATCGCAGCTTTGCTCCAAACCATTTGCCGTGGCCGCAGCTTCATGCATCGGACGCAGGAGAAAGGTGAGAAAGGTGAAGGGAATGGAAGGTACGGAAATTGCACAAAAACGATGACGGGAACGAAATGCTAAACACTGTTTAAACGACGTGGAATTAAGGAAAAACAATTGGAGAATTGTTTACATAGATTATAGGTTCGCATAGGTTCGCTATGTTCAAACACATTACAGTCTGTCATTTAATATTAAGTTTTCGCAACATAGCTCAACGCCCCTGTGTGCACAAGTTCTTTTCGTCCGAGCCAAGAATCTTCTATGAAACATAGGCTTGCCTGAAGGCATTGAAGTTTTTCCGTGCAGGATCTCTCTGCTACAGCACGGGAAAGAGCCTTCACACGACACTTCTTGGGTCCCTGGCCTTCGATGATCATGGCGCCAGAGGAGGCGAAGGCCTGAATTTCTATTAAAGCCTGACAGAACTCACGAACCCGAATGAACACACATTGACGTACCCCTAACAGTCTCGCGTGGCATTCTCCAAAGATTGACAACCTGGGGTGACCGGGTGACACTCTTCTATATCTCCTTTAGGACAGGGTTGTGTGACACCCTTCTGGGACACTCTTGTAAAGCACTCTTGTAACAGTCTTATGGGACACTCTTGTAGGGCACTCTCTTGTGGGGCACTCTTGTGGGACGCTCTTGCAGGACACTCTTGTGGGACACTCTTGTAGGTCACTCTTGTGGCACAGTCTTGTGGCAGTCTTGCGGTTCACTCTTGTGGGGCTATCTTGTGGGGCACTTGCGTACTCTTGCGGGACGTTCTTGTGGGGCACTCTCGTGTGACACTCTGTGGCACACTCCGCGTTTACACAGCGCATGTTTCCCATTCCCCCGTTACGTCTCCGATATCGCTGTGCCAAGCGGCTTGGCGCGAAGTTGAAGCTTTTAACAACGGCTCAGGGGGGTGAGGAGGCAGCTGATGCCCCTCCGCTTGCGCTCAGAGCCAGTTGAGCAGGTGGCCTGTCAGCGTGGCGCCAAGATCCCCGATGGCGCCATCATTGACTATAGGGACTCAGCTCCTACCACGCCGCCCTCCTTCAGACAACTGCCGGAGACATAATGGCCCATGAAGCGGCGGCCGAGCCAGCGCCGCCCCGGCCTCAGCTTCAGCGAGCCACTACAGTGGAAGGGGCAACGCTCACCCAGCCTATCCGATTCAAGCCCCTTCCCAGCCATCCGCCATCGGGCCCGCCCCAAATCTCTTCGTGGTGGGGATGTAATGACGCCAGTCGCCAGGCCTCAAATGGGCGAGGTCGTGGCTGGCGCACGCGCCAACCCACTCCCACCAAGGGCTGCCTGGGCATTCAAGGATGGTAAACCCGCAGAAGCGCACTGCCGCACTCGCCCTTTTGGGGACCATTGTAATTGCTTTCCCGGCACCTACTACACCAACAAGGCAAAGGTCCTTGGACGACTCCGCTTGCCTGTAAGGAGTGACAACTGCTGGTAATGTCTTCAGCCTCCTGAACTTGTCGGCCAAGAAGAGCGTCAGACGGCGGCCGTCCTCATGGAGCTAGTGCTGCGCCGGGTAGTGTGGCCAGCCATATCCCACGTGAATACAACACTTGGGCGGATGAACTCGCTCATCCGGAGTTTACAGGCTTTGATTTGGCTCTCCGACAAATCCTTTTCAGTCTTCTCTCGCACCCCGCCTGCTTGCGGCGCCATGGGTGAGAGATTGTGCCTGACACATGTACGTAGTAAGAGCAGATAGGGGCAGATTATTCCAACTGTGCTTGGGAGGTCTTGTGGCTGGGCCAGGATGATCCCGTGGGTCAGGAAAACGTTCGATAGAACCGGGCTGAAAGCTAGATCTGTGAGCATCTGCGATGACCTGTGGAGAGACTGATAGATACAGGAAATATGTTCAGAGATGCGATGAGGCGTGCAGACGACATCCGTCGACACGTGATCATAATAGCAATTTGTGTGCCACACCATGTTTACTTGAAGGTTCATGAGAAGAGATCATGATGAAGCATGGGCATTTTCACGAAGCCCTTTGTTTGCTTAGAAGTGAAAAGAGGTGAGGTAGCTTCTTTTGTGAAGGTTATGAGCCCGCAAGAAGCCGGCTGGGTTCATAGGGTGACCTTTGCTGTTTTTTCGCCATGAGCGAGGGCGCCCCATCGGAGCAGACCCCGGAATCCGGGGGGATGAAGGCGATTGAAGATGCTGGCCCAAAAGACGGCTTGATGCGACCAGCGGGTCCTCCGGTAGTCTTGGGTCCCGAGAACTGGAATCCCTTCTGGTCTGAGAAGATGCATGACGAGGCAGTCTTGAGAGCACTGAGACCGGTCGATCTCCCGACTGAGTCTCCTGAGTCGGCTAGTTGCAATCACTCCCCCAGCCTTTCAGAGACCGCCATGGTTGAGGATTGAGCAGAGAGGATCCGTGGCCCTGCTGAAGGCCATCCCGGAGTCGCTGAGGTCGGAACTCGTGTCGCAGCGGGAGGTGGGGTCCGTCAGCATTGTGTTCAAGGTCCTGCGGGTCAACCTGGTGGCCTGGGTGAAAGAACCACCCTTCTGAAGCAGCTGGTGGATCAAAAAGTGCCTGGACCTTTGGGAGAATGGCTTTCTTCTTTGAGGGCTTGGCGGAGGTGGCTGACCCGGGTTCAAGAGTTGGGCATTCAACCACCGGATCCGGTCCTTCTGTTGGCAACTTTGGACAGGTTTGCTGCCAGCTTGGCGAAGCAGTCCACTCAGGTCGCTTTCCGCTTGCAAGTCACCAGAGCAGCTCTGAGAGTTGATGTGGCCCCGACAGAGAACGGCATCCAACAGTTTGCAGAGTCGTTGATGGCGGAAGGTGAGGCAGCTTTCCATGGAGGATCCATTGCACCCTTGAAGGACACCGTGAAGGTCAAGGCCATGGACGGGGATGGAGGTGGCTTCAAAGAAGATGGGAACAAGCACCGTGATGTCCGCGAGAAGGCCAAGGACCACTCAGACGGCAAGGGCGGCAAGGACGCCAAGGAGGGCAAGAATCCGAAGTCGGAAGGAAAGAATGCCAAAGGTGAGTCAAAGGGTGGTACATCGGACAAACCAGTGTGCCGGTACTTCCTTTGTGAGAGTGGTTGCAAAAAGGGTCAGAACTGCCCTTTTCCGCACGAATGGAAGGGCATCTCCAAACAAGGCCGATGCTGGTCGTGCGGCTCAACGCAGCACATGAAGCCGGAATGCCCAGTCAAGGAGGTCCCGAAGGTGAAGAAGGAAGCTGGTGAAGATGTGAAGTCCAAGGACGGCAATCCCAAAGGAGGTGAAGGTGGAGGAGCCCTTCCTAGTGAAGTAGCGAGTGGGACGGTATTCAATCCTCCCGCTGTGCCGCCCTCAGAGGACTTGGTCAAGGAGGCCGTTCAATTGCTGAAGTCGCTTCGCCCTTCGGTGAAGGCTTTGAGTATGAGGTCTGTGAATCCTTCCGAAGAGTCGAGTAGAGCACTTCTGGATGGTGGGGCCACCCATGTTTTGAGGCCGGCAAGGTCAAAGAAGGAGTTTGAGGCGGCCGTGCCGATCAAGGTGGAGTTGGCCGCAGGTGTCACCACTCTTCGTCAGGTGGAAACTACTGGCACCCTCATCACGGACTTTGACACCCAGACCATTGTGCCCTTGGGAAAGGTCGTTCGCTTGGGGTACAAAGTGAAATGGGAAGGAGACTCCTTTGAGCTGTGGGACAAGTTGGGTGAGAAGATCGAGGTTGTCCTGGAGTCAGGGTGCCCTACGATTGATTTGCCAACGGCTCATCGCTTGATCGAAGAGTTGGAGAAGTTTGAGGCAGAGCTTGCGAAAAGGGTGGCTGCGTTGCGGGCGGGAGATCCCGGAGACATGGCTCCCAATGTTTGGAGGTGGCTCAAGCAGCTACGTGAGATGTGGCCTGAAGTCCCTGATGAGTTGATTGCAAGAGTGATCCCTACGGGAAGGTGGACGGGAGATTCAGTTCCTCTCAATCGACGGCAAAGACAGAAGATCATGGCCAGCAAATCCGTCATCCTGCACTTGTTCTCCGGTCCGGATCAGGCATGGTGGCGCAAGAGGTTGGATTCAAATTCCAGGACGGTCATCTGCATTGACACGACAGCGGACTCCAATCAAGATTTGCTCTCGGATCAACTCACGAGCTTTTTGGCAGAGGTGTGTGAAAAGGGTGTCGTGGATGCAGTTCTGGGTGGTCCGCCCTGCCGTACTGTCTCCAAGCTACGGTTTAGGAGGCCAGGGCCGCCACCACTCCGAGCAAGGACGGGCCCAGAGAGATTCGCCTTGGAGGACTTGTCTGATGCTATGCGAGAGCTGGCTTGGAATGATGCGGTCCTTTGGATGCGACAACTTTGGCTGTTTGGGTTGGCCAGTCAAGCCCGATCTCGTTTGGTTCTGTTTCTCAAGGAGCATCCACGAGACCCCGAGGAGTACAAAGCAAAGGAGGACACCAATGAGTACCCCTCTTTCTTTGCTTGGCCGGAGTGGCAAGAGTTTAGGGCTCGCTTTGGACTGACGGAGGTGCGTCTGGATTTGGGAGCGCTTGGACACTCGCGTCGAAAGCCGACCACTTTGGGAACCAACATCCCCCATCTGAGCAACTTGGAGGGTCTCACCGACGGCCGAGCTCATGGCCAGGTCTTGGACATCAGCACGTCAATGGACCAAAGGGTGTCACAGAGCAGGGGCTGGGCAGCGTGGCCGGAGCGCTTCAAGGAGGAGATTGTCAAGGGCGTGCTTTTGGTGTTGGACAGCCATTGTGATGGTGAGAGCCAGGGAAGTGATCCAGTGGTGGCTCGTATGACAGCCGAGCAATGGAGGAATCATGTCCTACAAGACCATATCCCATTCTCCAGGGAATGCACTACATGCCTCAAAGGAGCAGGCCGTGGTCGTCCCCACAAGAAGGTTCCACATCCAGATGCGATGACCTTAAGCCTGGATGTGTGTGGCCCATTTCGTCCGGGTGAAGATTTTCGGAAGAAGGCCAAGTACTTCCTGGTTGGGGTCTATGCCATCCCGATCAAGAAGGGTCCGGAAGGCTCATCTCCACTCCCTGAAAGCATCATGGAGGCGCTGAAGGTGAGCCTGTGGAGGAAGGAAAGGAAGAAGAGTTGCTTCCCATGCCAGAGGCAGAAGAAGTTCCAGTCCGAGAAGGTGACCCCAAGGTGCTGGAGGAGTGGGAAAGACTTGAGGTGGAAGCGGAAGATGTGGCCGTGATGAACTACACGTTGGTGGAGACATTGACCTCGAGGCAAGGATCAGAGCTGAAAGCTGGCCTGGCTCGAATGCTAGCTCGTTTGAAGTATTTGGGCATGGAAGTGAGGAGAGTTCACAGCGATGGAGCCGCCGAAATGTTTGGCGCAAGGAGGTGGCGCGAGGCAAGGGGCATCTATAGAACCTTCACCAGCGGCAGTGATTGGA